GATTCCAGTTTGATCTTCGGAAGCAAGCGGCTTTTGAACAAGGCCTGAATCATTGTTATTCTCCTCAAGTCTACTTCTTTTTACAAGTGATTCAGAAGCATCATCTCCTCTAGTTTTCTTTCGAGATTTGATCATCTCAGCAATTGTAATGTTAACATCATCACAATCCATAGAACTATGATCATCTTCTTCACGTGCTCGCTTGCATCTCTTGTTTCTCAAACGCTCACTTGTCATCTTCACTAACAACAACTCACTAACTGTCACTTCTCTTGAAGCTGATCCACCACAAATACTTATCTTGCCTTTCTTTATCTCAAATCTCACATTTTTCGCTTTTCTACGCTTCCTAGATCTTTTGGTTTTCGCAGGAAACCTTTCTGGCAACTTAAGAGATGATGCATCATCATCTTCATCAACTGTATTACTACTACTTGCATTAAACTCTGAAACTGACTTCAACCACCAGTCTTGATATCTTGCAGTAACAGAAGTTGTAGCGAGACGAGAAGGCACATATAGCTTTAAACCATCAAGAGACTTGTTGTAATCATCCCAAGCTTCCTTTTCTGTGAAGTTGCTAAGATGAGTAACCAAACCAGGAAGATCTTGAGAAAAACCGAATTGCATCGCCACTCGATTGGGATAGTAATCCTCAACAAAACCAATCCCAGCAAGCTTAGAAACTCTAAAACATCGAGCAAACGAAACAAACTCATCATCAAGACTGTCATCAACACTCACCCACATACATTCCTCAACATAAAACTTTGGAAGACTCCAATTCTTCAAAGATTTAGCGTAAGGCCGCCAATCGAAACCATCGAAACTCAATCTCTCATTCTTCTCACATCTATGTTTCTGAAAACACCATCAAGCAATCCGAGGTTCTCCCATTTGTATCTCTCTAGCTTCTGGTCTAATGCTTCCGAATCTCTCCCATATCCATACTTGAACTAACTTAAACAAAGACTCAAGTTTGACTCTTTTCTTAGACTTACATCTCGCAAAGCCATGGATACGGCTTAAATCTCTGTACAAGCTAGCTAACACAGCAGGAGCAAGAGCAATCTTTTCACCTCTAGCTAAACGAACAGCAATAGGAAGAACATTTCCCGAAATCGAAAGACGCCAAGCATCTGGGAAAACAAAATCAGAAAGCCACAATGTAAGAAAAGCTTCGTGCTCAGTCCG